TTTCCTCTATTTTGGTTTGATTTCAGCATTGTTTTTAAAGACAAGCAGTCTGTATATAGAATCTTTAACATTTTACTTTGACAATCGAAGTTGTCATCGTAATTATTTTAAATTTCCGGGACTTTTTTCAGAGAGATAATATATTAGAGATTATTTTCTGAATTTCATAAATCTGAGGTAATATACCACAATATGGTATACAAAGCATATATGCTGATTTTAAATTATATTTTGTGAGCAATGTTGCAGTGGTAAAGAGAATAAAAATAGAATAAAGAGTTAAAAGTTAGTGAGAAAAATTAATAAAAAATGGTCACCTTATCGTACGACATCATAAGTAGTTAATGTGTTTAACCTGTGCTAAATCCATTATGACGTCATAATTAATTCAATGTCACTTTTTCCATCTTCATTAGAAATTGTAGAAAATACTGCATTTTCTACAATCATCTTAATTCAATTGAAATATTTTTTGGTTATAATGCTTTTAAATGACATTATATTTTCTTGAATTAGAGAAACTTGTCGGCACTTTCATTTACTAGATCTTGACCTTAATTAAGTTGACAAATCCAAGACTATCTTTTGTGATGAAATTACAATACATAAAACTTACTGTAATAATGTGAATGACATGTAACTATTTTGAAGGAATGCAAAAATACTAAGAAATCTTCAGTTGACAACTAAAATGTGAAATATCTAGATGAAATGTGTCTAAGTTAAAGATGTACGTGTTGTAGATCGTGTTTACATTTTTGTGATATCTATCATGAAATGATATATGCATTCTTTTTCATAATTATTTCATAATTATTTTACTTATTCATATTCTTAGTGTTTGATTATAATTTTTCTATTAAATATGATCTTTTTAAATGAAAAGTACAATTTTTGATTGACATTTTAGATCGGAAAGTACATATGTAATCCAAAACAGCCATTTAATAATTAAATTCCTGTATTAGTGCAAAAAGGTCAATTATATTAGCATCGGTAAATAACCTACCTCTCATTAGTTGGAGGCAAAAGACATAAATCTTAATCACTTTTTGTAATCATTGTACATTTTTGTAACGTTCTTCATCATTTTTAAAGAACAAAACATTGTGACAAAAACTTCTAAAAATATTTACAAAAAAATGTGGAAAATTGACTTTAAAAAAAAATAGAGTTCATTTGCCATTTTTTTTTTAAAATGTGGACTTATCTTTTATGTCAATTGAATAAAAAAGGAGTTATTCCTGAGAAATATTGCCTAATATTGTTCAGTTAATAATTAAGTCTATAAACGACGCTGTTTGAAGAAGTATTTTTGTGATTTTTCATATTCTCCTCTTGACAAGTACCCTTAAAAATAACTGAAAATGTGTAGTCGCAGTATGTAATTACTATTCCAGGCTGTGCTACATTAGAAAACAAGGAAACATATTATGAGCTTTTAACTGATTGATAAGAAAGTACTAATTGATAATTTTGAAAAGTTTGAAAATCTTGTGACAAAGACTTTTCCGACATAGGTTCTACCTTGATTTTCAACAAATGCATATAAAAGAAATTCAAACCAATCTATTTTTCAAAAAAAAAAAAAATACAATTACTTTAAATAGCATGTATTATGATAAAAAAAATTCCATATATTGGCTTGATGAAAAGCAAATAATGTTAAATATTCACATTTGTTTTTTTTTCTACTTTGTAAACACTGAAATGGATTTTAATACGATTTTCGGAGTCACTTCCTATTTAATATTTACATTTGCAAATGTGTTTCCTTACATAACACTTGTTAAGCAAGATGTATATACACCTGTTTAAAATAAGTTCGTCATTTGACAATAAATTGACTGTATAGTCATACACAATCTACATAAGTGATCGACGTTCTAAACTCATTCAATTCTTACCATTAAATATAAGTACCATGTAAAACTTTTTATCGGAATGTAAATACTGGCTGCCATGTAATCAAATCTTCCACACACCCCTTCATGCTTTATGAGATATGATCAAATGACAAACCTGTATTTACATCCTGCATGGTAAAAGTTTTAAAATGATACCTTATTTCTTAAATCAAGTATTTGGATAGGTGCAATTGAAATTTTCTTCTGTAGTATAATGTAAGTAATATAATGTACATTAACACTGAATAAGCTAAACGCTATCCTCTACAGGCAAGAGGTCTCCCTGCAATTAAGTCAACTTTGTCATGGACGCCTTATTAATTATAACTAATTATTATTTTTACCAAAACATAATTGCCTGACGTCACGGCGTCAGGCTGCATAAGGATTGATATTTCCGAGGTGCGAAGAGAAGAGGTCACAGTTAGCTAGCAAAATTTTGTGCATGCTGATTATCACTGGAATTTGTTACCTGCGTTTCAACAAAACATTTAGCAGAAAAAAATAACCGTCCTACTTATAAAATATATTGATGTGTTTATTTCCTTTAGTTTTTTTGCATGCAGCTGTTTATTTCATGCGATTTCATATACGGACATGTCCGTTTGACCTTTTTTCTGCGTTTCTGTACTATTGGATGAGTCCATTTGTTTTTTAGGTAAGGGGTGTCACAATCATTTTGCGCCAAATGTCACGTGTATTTCTCCGCGCCCATTTCCTGGATGATTCTACTGCACTGAATGGAAATAAAAACTTCAAGTCTATTCTTTTTATTTCGAATTTCGAACTTTGGGAAAAAAAAAAAACATATCGGTGATATTGTGAAAGAAGTTAGAAGTTACATCATTTAAAGTAAACAAAACGAAACGGAAAAGAGTTCTTAAAAGGAAAACTGGCCAAATATACATAATATTTCTGATCATATCTCGCCCGGACTCGCAGCCCCCCCCCCCCTCCCAAGTTTTCAGAGATAAAATTCTTTCTTCTATAAAACACAGAAAATGGACTTAGGAAAAGTGTCCCTCCTATTCCAGGATTGAGAAATATAAGGAATCACCGTCAAGTTCGTTGGGTCATTTAAATGCATAACGGGCTGTTTCCAACAATTGTTGATGCTCTGGCATACCCAACAATCTAGTACTTAAACATTTTCTGCATGTTAATCATAACGATTCATTTATTTCTTGTAGTTATCATATTCTCAGCTGTTTTCCCGGAAGTCTATGCAGTTGAATCTAATTCTAAATTTTAATTTTAAAATTTTATATATAACCTTCACATAGGCACGGCTTTCCAGCATACATTAATTCATTAGTTCATTTCCCTTATTTAATCACTACATCTTCTTAAACCATTTATAGAGTTGCGGAATGAGGAGCTGTGCTTTACGTCGCGTGGTCGAATCCACTGCAGGACGTGGAGATCGGTCCTTAGGATTAGACCGTTTAAAACCAAGTCCCGAGTCGCAGTAGGTGTTAGCACGAAAAAGATTACATGAAACTGCTCATTGGTCCTGAGTTCCAAGTATTTTTAACACTCCACAGGCGTCCTTATACAACAAACGAAAAACAGATAAAAACCAATTTTTAACACATACAAAATATACCTTTTAAATAAAATCTAACTGTTCCTTTTCCATCAGACACGTAAGAAAAAGGGGGGGGGGGCTGTCTCCCCCTTTTTTTCCCAACCTTACTTTTACTATACAGTGTATATAGGAAATGTTAATTGAAAGGTTGGATCCCCCTGTAAATAACAGGAAATTTATTTAAGGGAAATGCAGTATTTAACTGTTTAAAAAATGGTACAAAAAGAACTTTAAAAAAAATTGGTCACTACCCCCCCCCCCCCCCCCCCCCCCCCCGAAATAGGATTTTCAACTTTGGGCATATTCCTTTTGTTTGCAGGTGAGTGAAAAAAATTCTCTAGCTGCCCCCCCCCCCCCTTTCAAAAACGAGGCTCTCCATTGCTTTCATAAGTAGCAAACAACTTAAAAATAACGCATGATGTTTTGTTCGACGTCTTCATAATTTACTCTAGTGAAAAAATTACCCCTCACCCAAATGTCAACGTTTATATATATAACTTATCATGATTATAGGTTCTATAGATATTGATTGCATTAGTCAGGCAAACTTTTTTTGAAAAGCTATTACTTGTATTATAATTATATTTTTTCAGTAAAATGTAGGAAAAAGGGGCCAACATCAGACATGATACAAAATCCCAAAAGATAAGGGTTACTTGAAAATATTTCCAAAGATCGATAAAAAATTCACATTTACAGATTACAATGTGTTGTCAGGCTTTCTAGGATGTTAAAACATGTCGTTAAAAATTCATGCAGGTAACATGAGTGTGTTTTAAAAATAACTGAAACAGGGTTTACCTGGTCGCTTGTTTGCATTTTCAGTTTTGATTTTTTATTTCCTCCTACATAAAGAAGTAATCTTCTTTACAGGTAAGTCATTTTTTTAGTAGCCATGCTTATTTCTTTAACCTCTTTGAACAACAAGAATGGTAACAGTAACTTATCACAATCTACCGGATTATTTAATTTCAACAAATGATTTTCAATTGTAACTAAAAATAGAAATTTTCGGGAAATTCAACTTTTCCTTTTGGTCGAATTTCGACAATGATTTTGTTAACAAGCAGTCTATAAATAAATCTTTCAATCGACATTTTTTTTTGACAATATATGTTGACAGTCATTAAAATTAATTTGTCTCCAAAATTCTTCAAAACGTCCGCGATAAGAGATATTATTTTCTGATTTCAGTAAATCCTGGAACATATGAATACCACAGTTTGGCTGCAAAGAATAAAATCTGGATGTAAAAATATGATCAGCAATATTGCATGTTAGATAAATAAAGACAGAGATAGTGAATGTTTTAACACAGTTCACCATTTATACAGCTTTGAACTGAGATTAATAGTACAAAACTAAAACAAAGAAAGACAATCTTTAAACATCATCTCTTTGACTATCATCTAAATTTTTGCAAGGCAAATAATTGTTTCTTTGAAAAATTGATTGTAATCTTGTATTGACAACTGCCCCAACGCAACGAGTTCATTCCAAATACAATTTTTCCTTTTATTACTTTTTTTTCCAGGTTTGAATGCCGAAAAATTAAAAGAAAAGGATGTCCCGTTTCTACATTTTTTGTATTCTATATTGTATCTGTCCCACAACTTGGGTAAGATTGAAAAGTTTCAAGTAATTATATTGTTAATAAACATTTGTAAATAGCAAAATCTAATTTCTAAAAATATGTTTTCATTCTGCCCAAATCTATAACTTCTCAATTGACTTTCTGGTCCAATATTAAGTCTTCCACTGGGCTATCATGTCCCGAGAGTCTCCCTACAGTATCCACTGTGATCAAGTGTCCCTCAAACGAAACTGAATGGAAATCAGCTGCAAAGAAGAAAAGTTGTCACAATCTTTCAAAAGTACAGAACTGCACATCAGCTGAAAATTTTGCCTATCACTGTGTTTTGAACAAGGAGGCCACAATGCTTTTGGAAGTTTGTGCTCCAGTTTGGTTTATATCAGGCAAGTTTAGATAGATTTACTTCCTAAGAAGAAGGTCCAGTTTTGGCTTTATTGTGCCCTAAAAATTTAATGTTCTTAAAAATTTATGAAATTGGCATTAACAACAGTTAGTAGATGAATATGATTGTCACAGGGTGGCTGGCGGCTTCCCAAAATCACAATAGACTTTTTTTGTTAAAATATAGTTTTTATTTACAAAAATGTACAAACACACGCGACATGGCTCAATAGCTCACTGCTGGATGGCATACATAGCATTGGTGAATAGCTGGCCTAAATAAATGGGGCCTATAAAAATAAAACAAAGTTAGATACAGACATAATATAATTATACATATAATTGCTCATACTTGTACATTTTGCTGTACATTTACTTATGTGCATTTTACTGCATTACACTTTACTTAGTTGCATTTTACTGCACTGTACTTATACTTCACTTCACTTCATACTACTTTACAGAACTTTTACGTTCTCACATAAACTAAGTGTACTACTTGTAGACAACCACTTTAAGACGAATACTATACGCCATACTTTATACATACAACACTACGTCTACATTGTACATATACTCATACACTTATACTTTTACTTATAAGACATATACTTTACATGAGCAAATACTACTTCGAATCTAACTTACGAATAAAATTATAGAACAAAGTTCTGTGGCCATTTCAGGAATAAAAACCGTCAATAAATCATACAGCTTACAATAATAAATAAAATACACTTACCCAGAATAGGTGGACCTCTGGTCATGAAATAAGAAATTACGTGAACAAAATAAAACTTGAGAGCTGTCTTAAACACAACTGCTCCGGTCAATTGCTACGCCCAATCTGATTTCACGGGATTTTAAACCGCCAGGTAAAACCTGCTAAACAAGCTTAAAAGTATGGTAAACATATTGGGCAAATAATATTGGTAATGTAGTAATCAGATAAAACATATGGAAAACAAATATGGACATCAATTGTGACAATGATATTAAATAATTAAACAATATTACATGATCGACTACTGTTCTGTAAATATGGCATCATTATTTTGGTACATATATCTCAGTTTAATTCAGAAAAACCTCAGAATAACCCATTTCTGTGCATATTTTCCTTTAGAAAATAGTGTCTGCCACCGTCGCCAACTTCAATTTTTGGAAATATTATAATGTAAACTGCTATGAAAAATCACATGTCTCAAGATCTTTGTGGGCGACGATGGCGGAGTATGTTTTCTGAATGAAAATATCTCTGAAAATTGATGTCTTCTGCAACGTTTTAAGAAAATACGGGAAAATACACAAGTTAATGACGTCACAATTAACATTTAGGAGGTCATATGAGAAAAAGATTTGTGTATTGTTACTGCATGGAATTCCTATTTCAATTTCTTATATCACTTTCATATTTTAGAAAAATACAGTGCTTTATTTGTATTGAAACTGTACCTTGTTCTTCAATTATTATTATTGTTTACCTATTTTCTGTTTAATAAATGCCTGTAATTAAAAGAAATACATATTGTTACTTTTAATAGCAAACACAAATTCAAAAAATTTCATGTATTGCCTTGATGAAAAGGAAATAATGTTAAATGTTAAGAACTAAGTACAATGCAAAACCTTGCTGTGCGCTATACATCATACTTGAAAGGTGTAAAACTCACAACTGATTTTAAAACGTGAATTCTCTTAAATATACTTAAAGATTGTTAACTAAATGGCTAAACATCTCACGACGTCAAAAGATACAATGTAGATGTAACAATTTAAAATAAATGTAATTTAAGTAATGAAATATCTTGTTGTGACGTGATGACCAAGGGAAAAAAATCCGATTTTTGCAGAACATTTATAGTAGCTTTAAATGCACCAGATACATTCAATCTCTGAATATAAAATTAAAATCCAGTATATGCTTTGAATATTATCTTTATTCCTTCTCAGGGTTTTGTGCAAGATACAGTGCAGAGGATCAAAGAATTGTGAATGAACCAGGGTTAGATTGCACAAAGTTTGTTCGAGCATGTCCTTCCAGATTCATGTCAAATGAATCTTATAAATGTGTGTACAAATCGGAATTTATATAAAGCTATTAGATAAATTAACTACGTTTGTACATGACGTCTTTTATAGACAGTCTTTGAAATGAAAAAAAATCCTGTTTGAGTATCTTTACAAGCATTAATTATTTAATTCCTTTTGTATTTAATATTCCCAGATCAGACATGTTACAGAGGTATAGGAGATAAAAAAGAAGTACACAGTTCAGTACAGTGCAAGAAGTAAGTCATACATAGTCATTGACATTGTTAATGATTGTCTTTAAAACGCTCATATACTTTAAAATCTTGTCATCTTCAAGCAATGACTTTGATTATATCTAAAACATTATTATTTGATATTATTTATAAGATATACTGCAAAGGTTTCTCTTCTTGTTTTAATATAGGTTTCTTATCAAATTTACATTATTTACTAAATATTCCATATACTTATTACAAATTTGTTTTTATCAAAATCCCAATTCCTCTCGAAATTTCTCTTTTATGACAGAACTTTTTTTTTAGTATGAGCAGTATATTTAATTCAATATCACCTTGTTTGTAATTTCAGAAATGACTACAGTATCATTAGTGCCTTTTTAGCGGTTGCCATTATAGCTGTAGTTATCTTACTTTTGTTTATTTTCTATGACAAGAAATTGAAACAATGTAGAAATTCGAAGATAATCAGAGGTAAGTTTTCCATTTTACATGTGATATTCATGATCATCTACGATTAGCGGAGGTCATAATTATGAATCTATATTCAATTTTTTATTATACTATGAATTTGTAATTAGTTTCTGTGCGTGCTGCATGTCATGATATGATTTTTGACAAGTTTGAAATTAGTTATGTTTGAAGGAAATCAAAATTATCCTTATCATGTTGTATAACTCGATAAATTTAGCTTCTCTTTAAAATTATGATAAAATACATGTGTGTATTTAAAGGTGAGGAATCCGTAGATTTAATGACTTGTTCTGAGGAGCAAAAAGAAGGTCAGTTCCGTCCTTAGTGTGCATTGTTTGATTTATAATAGTTTTTTTCAATTGGAATTATGATAATTATTTGTTTTATTGTTAAGATGTCGATGAAAATAGTCCGGAAAATCAAGAAAAAGTCGAGGATATCGTAAAGGGGTATGATTATACCATTGTCGGCATTTTTAATTATCGAAACATTAAAATAAATAAAATGTACATTTTCGATACCAGGTAAATGGTTTACATTCGTTACTTATCTCACAGTTCTGCTAAAACGGAAGAGACCTTTGAAGATGATAAAAGGAAAGATGATGAAGATGGTGCTGCAAGTATTATGATTGAACGCCCAGAAATCCCTAGGTAAGAGGAGTTAAGGCGAGAAAAAATAATTCTAACCATAAATCTTACGTTTATCACTGAAAACATATTCGTTTACAGAGATGATGACGATGAGATAATGGACTTTGAAACTATATCTGGTAAAACAGGGACGGTTTCCGTAGTAGTAAGATTGCATTTCATTATTACTGGAGTATTTTGTCTAATAATTGTAAATTTTTAATTGAAAGTTTAAAGTATGTTGATAAATATTAAATGATTTCATCTGATAATGCATCAAATTCTTCAACTTTATCTATCTCAACATATAACTTATAATGAATTTTTGATAAGGGTGCCAAAGATATATCTATGCTGAGAGAGAAATTGTCGGAAAAACCACATTTCTCAAAAGAAATTATTTGGGTTGTGGTAAAGGAGGATGGAATAATTTATAATGACGAAACTAGCTTTGAAAACCTTAAGATGCATCAAGATAAGATACATGTAGTGATCGGGAATAACAACAGAATTGTGCACGATGCATGCCAGGATTCCAGCGTTGAAACTGATATCATATCCAATAAGCCTTTAACGTCCAGGAAATGCAGAATGAGCTGTAATCATTTCACAGGTGATGATTTTTGTTTCATTTTATTTTTTTTTTGCCGATTGTGTCTACTGTGACATTTGAAAACTGTATTAAAATGCATGTTCTAAAAAACATTACCTTGTTAGCTGTGCTGCATTGTGTTACATTTGATTTATTTGTTTTTCAGCTCCAGAAACTGTCTTTGGATATACGAAAGATACCCTTACTAAAGGAGAGGCAGTTGTACAATGTCCTAAGTGTAACAAAGCATGGGAAATGGCAGAACTCGTTCAAAAATGTGATATGTCAAGGGATGAAAAAATATTCCTTGAACACCTCATGTCACTGAATTTGATGACCAGAATGCAATTTCAAGCATCAGTAAGGAAAAAGTAACTTATTGATTTTGCGGCTTGTCTTTATATGTCTATTCAGTAAAATGAGTGAAAATGAAGTGCATTCAAAAAAGTATAGAATTGTGCATAGACATGTATGTACATGTAAAACTGTTTACCAATCCTAACTCGCCTTAAGGACCCTCGCTACAGTGCATCCTAATTTCAGGGTACTTGCGTGTATTTAGACTGAGCCATCATTTGACATAAAAAAGAATAAATTGTAATCTGCATTGTATGATAAAATTTTAAATAAATCCATGTATTCTAAACGTTATGTTAGACCAAGATAGAGTATTTGAAAACTTTATTTGCATGTATTTTCTGCATTTGAATAATCAAAAGCAATTATTCTGTGTCACAACTTCACTGTCTTCAAAGATTTTTTCCTGGATAAAGAAGGCACGCTCCCTATATTAGAAATGGATTAGTTTATTTTAAAATAGCCTCCTTTACACTAAATAATTTTCTCAAAGTCCAAAAAACATTTCTCGTCAGTGTATAGAGGGTTCTTAAAATCTGAATGTAAAATGTAAATTTTCAACAAATAATAAAATCATTTTAATCACAATAAAATATACTTCAGTATTATTCCCCCGCTTCACAAAGAGGGGTATATTGTGACCGGGATGACCGTCTTTCTGTCCGTCCGCCTGTCTGTACGTCTGTCTGCTAAGGTTTTTGAGTACAACCTCTGATCTGCAACGACATTTTTGAACTGACATGCATTTTTGGGTTCCCATAGAAAAGCATGTACAATCAAAGGCAACGAAAAAAATATTCTTTTACACATTTTTTTATGTACATATACATAATGTTAATGTCAACTTCTATTTCACTTTTAAATCTGACACTTATTTCAGGTCTCTAAGAACAAAACATGCATTGGTAGAGTATTATTTTTTAACGACGAGTCGGCAATGATTTAGCCATATTTCGGCTGAACATGGACTTTGCTTTTATATTTATATGGGAAGCAGAAATATATTTTAGTGAGAGATACTCACAGTACCTTTAGTTTTATTTATGTGTGCTAAGACATTTATCAAAACCTATTTTACTTGTGTGCTTATTGTTGTTGGTAATGATAGTCCTTGGCAAAGGTTCGAAAGGAAATTTTGAAGTACTTCATACATGGTTTGGCCGTCTCGAGACATTTGAGAATATTCCACTCATAGAGTCTTATAGAGTCTTGTATGAAACTAATGACAAAATGTATTAACTTTATGACTTACATCAATTATATATTTAAAAAAAATAGTTAAATAAAAAAAAACCTGCAACATGCTGTAATCTACAAATATTTGGTTTTTTTTTATCAAATGATTTCAAGAATGAATACAATAAGGTTAAACACAATTTAAAAACATCAGATGAATGATGACAAAAAGAAATGATTATCTTTTACTTTAGAAAATACAATTGTTACTCATGATGTTAAAATACCTCAGTCATTCAATTTCAGCTTGTACGTGTATGCAAATGACAACATTTGCAGCTTGATTTCTACGATGCAATAGAGTTATTAATCTCGAAAACGTATTTTTATCCAGTTCGAATACCTATCTTGGAATTGAATAAGATGAATTGTTTCTCAACTTGCAATAAAGTAAAATTTGGACTTCCGTTCCACGGACTGTAATTCATGATAATGCATTTATGATGCATAAGAGCCTGTTGAGACGTGATGTAGTAGCAACTCCAACTACCAACATGTTTCACCTTCATTTTGAGAATTTCCAGCTAGAGCATTAAAAATGACTACATAAGTCATTTTTAAGAAGCTTAAGGAAAGGAAACGATAATTTATTTTTCAAAAAATTGCTGCATTACCGATAATAAACAGATATAAACATGTAAAACCCTGTGCTATTAGTTTTGTTTTGTTAAATATGCATTTTTGATATCTGTAAAACGGACTCGAACTTAGGTAATGGTATGAAAATCATTCAACCGTTAAATCGCCGAATTGAAGATATCCTTACATTGTTCTCAAAACATCTAGGCATTATGAAATGTCCCCCAAATAGGTTGTCGTGGTTCTCATTCGTTTCAGTATATTGTTTCAGAACAATTCGTGGGATTTGTAAAGAGTTATTGCGGGTTTTCTGTCCTGTAGGGTAGCTGAAAAGTCTTTTATCGCGTTTTTACATTCATCAATCAGGGAAAGGGTTTTCCTTTAGTACACTCAGCTCCATCTACTTTCTGCAGTTGCGCGTAAGCGTCAACAGGCTCATAGTAGTCAGATGACAAAGGATATATTTTGGTGCATGAACTCTCCCGTTGTTGATTCGAGAAAATTTGGTCGGGCTCGGTTTGACACCGGGGCGTTTCATACATTGAACTGTATCGTTGACTCGGACTATCAACAAAATAGTTAATCGAGTTCGAACAACCTCTTCTCTCAAGTACTGACACTTGCTGCGATTCGCTCGATGAAACTGAGCGTCGACAAAATACAAATTTAATGACTACTGACAAAACGACCACAAAAGTCAAAGCACTTGAAATTATAATAACTAAATTTGGAACTTCCGTTGAATTTTCCTCCTTACTCTGTGACTGGGTTACAGAGTTATTGTATGTGACTGCAAAAAATTTCCATCATTATTTTTCAACGTAATTTTCATTAGAATTTATTCTTTTGAGATTTTGAAAAATACAATTTGATTCGTACCTTGAATTTGTCTACATCCGGTTACATGACCACAATCAGACTGTTTACACTGACACACTTGCTGACAGTATTTCCCATAATTTGGAAATCTACATCTATGCACACAGCGATCACCAAAATAACCTCGTCTGCAACCCTCTTGTCAGCAGTTAACAAGAAAGAAGTGTTAGATTCATATAGAAACTATAGTTTCGAAGACAAAAATATGCTTTATCACAATGCTAATAAATTGTTGATTCTCCTTAATTGGTTTTTCTCTGCACAATATACTTATTGGAAGGGACATAATTACAAATGTCATTTAAGGATCTTTTCTGAGCGGAAATTTCAATAACTTCTCTTTACTTTAATCAAGTAATCAATTATATAAAAATAAATAATTTTTTCATTTTTTTTTTTCAAGAGAGTGTTTGTTACAAATCGTGTGCTTTCCAAGGGATCTTACATATTAACGAGGAGAAATAAAATAGGAAGAAAATATTAAGGAATATTAATGTTATTGTCATGTTTCATCTATTTTTGTCAGGATATAAGTACTATCTACCAGAATCGTCGTAACATCCTGTAGTTATGTCACAGAGGCGTTCATCACAATTACACCTTCCTTGACACTCTGAGCCGTAATTTGGATATGGGCATATCTGTGAACAGTTCGGTCCAATATATCCGGGTGAACAGACTAATATCAGAATAGAGGAAATCAAGAGAAGTGTTATTGTACAATTGACGGTGAAATTTGTATCTGTTACTCTTACAAAAAAATGGGAAAATACGCTATCAGGATTAAAAGAGATTTGGAATAATTTCATAAAGTATTACAACAATGATGGAGTTTGGAGTAAACAATGTGATGTATGCACTATAACCGTGTCTATGTACCTTTCTTTTACAAAAAGAATGAATAAAATTAATTCTGTTGAAGGAAATTTTTTTATAATTTTCTTTCAAGATAAAATTAAAATAGTGCGCAATATTAGAAAAATAAAATTATGAATTTATAAGGACACTGCAAAAGATGAATATGAAGGATAATTTTATCAACATTTTATCAGTACACATTTCATTCAATATATACTGGGAAAAATTTAAATTCAAAATATGTTAAATTGATTTCTACATGTTATTGAATTCAATAATTGACTTTTTTTTACATTCTATACAAATATTAGTTTTAAAGAGCGGTATAATTTAAATGAATATTCTACCTTTTTTAGTCAGGTTAGTTACTTTTTTACTTTGTTAATTAAATCATTGTTAACAAGCAAATACCTTTACAATTCATAGAAAAATCATCCCATTCTTGACAGCAATCGTCAAATCTGTAAAATATACGTAAGAGCGAAAAGATGAATCTATTTTAACCCATGCACTATGTCACGATTAAACAATGAGACTTAGAAAATTAGGAGGGATAAGAATTTTATCTTACCTTTCACACATATTGTTTTCGTTGTGAAACAAATACGAAGGAACGAGAAATAAGAGAATCGATATAAAATTCATTTTTCTTTGTTAAGCGTCTGGTACAATGTGTTAAGGAAGTTTCCAAACTATATTTAATAATTATTACACCCAATATGTAATATATATGACATTCCTCTTGATCACAACCAATAATTGGCTTGATATTTTTAGATCTTATGGGTCAGCTGATACATGTATCCATTCCACTCTTTTGTAAATTTATATTTTTTTGCTATCGAATGGCTGAACAAATTTTAAAGTAAATCTGTTAAATAATATCCAATGTGCAATATGTTCATCTTGCTTAGATGCAAATGAAAAATTCAATATTAATATATATCAGTATTAATACAGTAGACGTCCAATTCTCAAAAATCCAAATGGGTAACGAAATTGTAACCACACAAGAAGAGCTGAAGTGAGAGAAAAGCCGAAAAAAAATAATCAAAATGAAAATGATCATAAAAAAACAATGATGATAAAAAAATAAGGCTTTATTCTTTCAAGATTTTTTTATGAATAATTAATGAGAAATTGTTCTTAACTAAAGATGGGACTACCTTCCATACATGTACTGTAAGGCTTTCCGAAATATGATCTGTACATTTACAACACTTGCGTTTAACTGCTAACATTTATCCTAATTTTGAACATTATTAAATGATAATGTAACCACACGGTATTGCATTCTTGTCGTTCAACTAAAATTCAAAATTACCATGCTCAATGTAAATGAAAAATCGATATAGTGAATCTATTTTTCGTAGGGATGTCAACGAATATTCGACACGACTATCGTTCGATCATACCGACTTTCGACTAAAATTTCTTTAGTCGGTTATTCGTTTAAAATGTGGTTCATAAAAGTAATTTTGAATTCAAGGCAATAAACTTATATTTGCTTATTTAATTATTTACAGATGGATATTTTCATATGTAAAATTAAGGGTATGGCATAACTGTTCAAAGGAAATTATTTGTTTTGTAGATTAAAACTAATACAACTATTCCAAAAAAAATTGTAAATACATGTAAATTGGGGTTAGTTATGAGAATTATGATCAGTAATGAGAGTAATTAAACCGTGTTTTCTTTTTCTGATATAAATTTTATATAATAATTGATTGTTTGCATAAAATTTCATCATTAAGATTTATCCCAAGCTCTGGCTCTGTCTTTGTTTTTATAAGAGACACGCTTTAATTGTTTACCTTTCAAAGATCATTGACGGACAAGTAGGAATTGGCTTCAATTAAGGGGTACATGTACTACCGTTACGTAAAAAGAGACAAATAGGAGCGTTTGATATAATCCTGCATTTAGATAAACGTGCAGCAGCTAATATATCAATTTTGAAATTAAATTCATTGGATAAATATTGATATTTAACAGTTTTTATACTTGTACTACGGACATGTTTACAATTCAGTAATTCGTTGTATAATGGTGATAGCGTAGGTTAAATGTTGTAAACTATTCTGTAAAAGACAAACAATAAAAATAATATGAAAAAAATTAAAATAAAACGAATATTCGACTATCGTTCGACTAAAGCATCCGACTATTCGACTAAGCTGTCCGAGTAAAATTGACATCCCTAATTTTTAGATATATCGTTAGACATTGGGATTTACCTGGTTCAAGAATTCCAATCTATTTTCTGTTTTTATTTAATGAAGAAGACAATTTTGCCTTTACCTAAGTAAGCAGCTTTCTTACTTCCTTCAAGGAAATTAAAATGTTATATAGTTTCTATGTACTTGATTTAATATTTCATTTTCTTAAATGAAAACTACAGCAACTTAATTTACATTTACATATGAGAGCAAGACACTGCATTTACAATTCATTGACACTGACAGTGTATGAATTCTTCATTTGCTCCTGTCTTGATTTGTATGGTTCCAACTGACCTTAAAGCATGATAAACAATGTTCATTTTAATGTATCTTCATATCTTGTTTCTCATCTATTGATTTTGAATGAAAAGCTTATTCTGCTTTATTAAATCTGCTGTTTACCCGATAGTTTATTACAGTGTATTTAATTTGAGAATTTAATATGTTTGATTGGGACAGCTTGTATTTAGATTCCTCTTTTCAACAATATTACAGAACTGAAACTATAAGCTTTCAAAAAGAGAGTGTATGAATTTTAATCTCATTTGAAGTTGAATGTGAAAATACACGCAAACACCTGACCGCATATTTCTCTTTTAAGACAGATATATACTCTGGATGTATCCCTTGTCAGTATACCTCTCTAAATTTTGTGTATTATTTTGCACGCAAAGAAAAGCTGCAAGTGGAAACTTAAACAGATAAACAATTGATTAAAACTAAGTAATTAAGTAAATAATTGAGTAAGTTATTAAATGAGAAAGTAAAAAAGCAAGCAAGTACTAATTAATTGTTTATGTTAGTATATCATACCGGAAAAAACAACGCAGTTACAACTGTATGGAAAATATTTATATCCTGCCTCAGAGACATATATGAGAAAATAGAAAAAATGAAATATCAAAAGTATAGATCATGTCTTTTTTCACACTTACCCAAAGAATCATTTAAAACATCTGCGTGTTGCCCATTTTTGCACCTAATATTGTATATTAGTGTTATTTATAACAAAACTTTATCAATGTCACTTAAACTTAAAAAATGCTTCCAAAATGTTGGCATTTTGATACAAATAATTAATTATAGAAATAAAAGGTTGATTTCAATTACTCTCTAAAATTGTACGAAGATGCAAAAAATATCATTTGCTTACAGCGTAAAAGTTGACTGACATGCGTAGTTCATGGCTTTGCTGAGAGAAAAATAAGATGAATGTAAATGATCCGTCGGACTTCCACCTGTATATTTGTTTAAATTTTTAAAAAAGTGATTCTTCCTTTACAGTCTGCAGATAGTTGTACACATGTTCCCATTAAAAATTTGCAGTTTGTAAAAATCACTGATATAGAAAATGTTGTATATCAATTTCAAAGAAGTTATGTGATTATTTTTTTTTTCAAATTATATGGCATACAAGTATCTTACACTACATAATCACCAAACAATTATATATAAACATAGTAAAGCAATGAGCTATCTGAATTATAATTTTTACCTAATTGTGTTTTGTTAATGAGATAAGTATATAACAAGTTTACTTAATTGTGTTTTTATTCTTATTCAGGTTCGAAAGATGACATCAAACAGGAACAATGACTGAATTCTACAATCTTTTTATTCTCAGTCGCATCTGTCTTACAGCTATGGTAAGAACTGACAAATAGTTTTATATAGACTTTGCATCTTTTAGGAGAGAGGCGTCAGTTTTACAAAGATGTAACATAAATTCTTAAAAGCATGATCTACTTATTTTATTGAACTGAATGTCAAATCAATGAGTAGTTTCGAATCATATGAGGGGTGATTAAAAAGTTCGCGAACTATCTGTATAATAATAGAACCATAATTCATATCAGAAAACTAATCGGCACAAATACAGTAAGTACACATTCCCTAAAAGCAAATTATAAATAATGTTTTGTTTATGATTGTGTCGTCACAATGTGAAAAGAGGCCAATATGTAGGTGACTTTTGACAAAAAAGCGTCTGCCTCGATCCCCACGTCGCGGGTTCGAATCACACCGTGGGTCGTGGAGATCGAACCGTCGGATGAGAACGTATAAACCGAGGTCTCGTGTAGCAGTAGGTGTTGGCATGAAAAAGATACCTCAATGGCCCTAATTGCCGCGTATAGGACAACATTTGTCGAGTGGTGGCGTCTCAATATGAGTGAAAAATTCTCTAGAGGGACGTTAAACAACATAGAATTAATCAATCAGTCATATGATTATTTGTATAAGGTTAATAAAGACAAATACTTTATAGGAATTCAAGAATCAAATTGATTGACTGTTTTAGTGAAGTAAGGGAGAGGGTTAAAAATGACGGTTGTTATGTTGCCCAATAAAACCAAGTTGTGGAAGACGTGATCTCAGTATAATTTGTTATGAAAATTATCACTAGAAAAACAGGTTAATATCTTTAACAATATTTTAATTATCAAATCACTGGATTAGCATTAACTTTAGACTTTAAACATATCATATGTGATTAAAAGAAAGCACCTATTTTATATCCATATCGGAAAAACGACGTTTCTAAGACAGAGGTATCGGGTTATGATGATCGCCATGCTTTTTCTGGGAAAGGATACTATTATCCATCCGTCCTTTTTCCAAGAGTGGGCAATTTCTGACAAATTGTGTGTTCTTGTTATCAAAGATAACTAAAGTCTTGCATGACAAGAATAAAACATATTAAGCTTCTGTGAACAGAATGTTAAGGAAAATGTTACGTTACTATCTCTACAAACGTTTTTTTTTCTAAAAAAGAAGCCTTGAAAATAAAGGTAAGACATTTCAGATGGTTTAGGATGCTAAAAAAACCCCTTTATCCTTCATACATCCACATTTGTAAATTTATTTTTTATCATCAGTACCCAGACTGAAGTTATCTGTATGCTCTTTAGGCATGTATCTTTAAATTTAAGGTGATATATATGAAGTCTGTCTTTGGAATATCATGTCCTAAAACCATTCCTACGGTATCTTATGTGCCTAAATGTCCTTCCAATGAAACTGACTGGAGATTGGCCGAAAAAGAGAAAAGTTGTCAGAACCTTTCGAAAATACAGAACTGCACGTTATCTGAAACTTTGTATATCACTGTGTTTTGAACAAGGAGGCAACAATGCTTTTGGATGTTTGTGCTCCACCATGGTACATGTCAGGCAAGTTTATCAATTATCAATATATTGGACTTTTCAAAAAAAATAATTTAAGTTGTACATGTCATGTTGGCACTTAATTTTCTGGTTGAAGTATCAATCACTGAAAAAAGTCCATTTTATAAATATTTTATTTTATACATTCATCACCTGCATACGGAATATATATATCTCAGTTGATTCGATACGCAAGAGCATGCTCTACAGATGAACAATTTCTAAAACGAGGTAAATTATTGACAAGCAAGTTGATAATGTTGTTTAATGGACTTTGAGATTGAATACTGTTCGTTATCTCCTTATCATTATGATAAAAATTCTAGATGGAAATTGTTAGGTAATGTTCATTCAATCAAGCACATTTTAAAGAGCAAATTTTCAAAATAAGAACAGACCATTTTTCATTACTATGGCTTCTGAAATTTAAGAATCTCGACGGTCAAATAGCCCGTTGGCTAGAAACATTAGCTTTTTACCAATTTGAAATAGAACACATGCCAGGTCGCTTGCATGGGGATGCAGATGCTTTATCCTGTAGATCTAGCGCTGACGTCGAGTGTACATACTGTGCTAAAGCAGAGGTAAAATATCTACCTGAAGAATCTACACAAAAATGTTCAGTTGTGGAAACTAGGTCAAAACAAAAGGAACCTGAAAACAAAAAAAGAATAAGTAACACAGAAAATTTTGGTGTAGGAAACTATCAAAATGAAGACCCAGATTTAAAGCATGTTAGTAGGTGGGTACAAGATGGAACTTAACCCCATTGGGAAGATCGCAAGTAAGTTAAGGCTGGGTAGACGTTTTTCTATGCAAATGAGCTAAGGGAAATACATAATTTGTGTAATTTTTACAAAGAGAAGATGTGAGCTTATTTCCTTATACATAGTTAGTACACACAACCTTGTAAAGCAACTGCACATTATGACGTCATATTATGATGACGTCGTTGCTCTTTCCCATTCAAGGTAATAAACATCAACAAAATAACACTGGAGCAAGGGCATATCCTATATATTTTCAATAAATAAAGTAAAATATTCTGAAGAATGCTATAAAAATGAATAAAATAACTGCACAAATCCCAGGCGTTTTCTCAATTGATAGAATGTTAGGAAACTTACACCGGACAGTGATTTTTCACCCAGTTTCAACTTAAATCTTTTTAATAATAAATATACAATTGCACTGTCGACATTTGTGCACCAATATAATAAATTCTTGTAATTTTCTGCGTCTACTAATACCTTCTTTCTCAAGAACAAAGTTGAGTATGCCCTTGCGCCGAAGCTATTTTGTTAATGTTCCTTATAAACTTGTGTAGTACAGGCCTATGACGTCATGATGTGGCGTCATAATGTGCACTGGCTAGGGCATGTCGTGTGTACCATAATAAGAAAACAAGTTTCAACTTTTTCTGTGCAATAATTTCAGACCTTATTGGTTTTGATTAGTCAACTGCATAGAAATTTCTATACGTTGCCTTAACTTACTTGCGATTTAAGTGAAATTTGCAAATTTTACTGGATTCGGTACTAGTCATTAGAATACAGACATATTATCCTATACTATGTCCACGAGAAATTATTGTTTAGTGATCCCAAAAGCTTTAGTAGGAGAAGTTTTGCCCCTGTTACACAAAAGTACTAAAGAAGGTCACTTAAGTATTAAGAAAACCCTATTTAAAGTAAGGGAAAGATGTTTTTAGTACCAAATGAGTACTTATACAAAACATTGCTGTGTAACGTACGACATTTGTGAATTTAGAAAATGCCCTAATAGGAGAAGAATGGCCCCATTTCAAAAATATGGTTGGTGCTCCTTTAGAAAGGGTAGCAATTGACATTATAGGACCACTGCCCAAATTCAATAAGGGAAATCTGTACATCTTAATGATGGGCGATTATTTTACGAAATGGGTGGATGTGGTACCCATACGTAACCAGAAAACCATCATAGTATCTCAAAAGTTAATTGATAGACTAGTTAGTATTTTTGGGACACCATGCAGATCCATAGCAATCAGGGAAGGTCATTTGAGTCAGATGTGTTTAGGGATATGTTTTGGATATTAGGCATTGAGAAAACCTGAACCTCACCATATAGACCTCAGTCAGATGGGTTGGTAGAGCGGGCAAACAGAACAATAGAAAATATGTTAGCATCATTTGTATCTCAAAATCAAAAAGATTAGGAAAAACATTTACCCTTGCTCATGTTAGCTAATAGGTCAGCCCAGCACGAGTCATTTGGTGTGAGTCCATGTGAGATGATGTTTGGAAGGCATGTTTCTCTCCCAGCTGATTTAGTATTAGGAAGGCTACAACCTGAAATTACATTAGAAATGTCAGAATATGCTTACAAATTGTCTCAGACTATGGATAAAGTACATCAGTTTGCTAGGGATAAAATGAGTTTAGCTACAGAAAAAATGTTAAGGGAATACAACTCGAAGATAAAATTTCAAGGTTACAAGGAGGGAAATCTTGTATTGCACTATGCCCATAATATTAATGAAATGGGCACTGGCGGATTTAAGGGGGGCGTGGGGGGCGCACGCCCCCCCCTAAAATTTTCAAAGTATGATGTGACTAATATTTATAATGCCACATTTTGGTACAAAACCAACCAAACCACTGTTATTCTGCCTGGTTTTACTCTTAAAATACACAAAAATCCAGGAGCTTCCGGGGGCTGCGCCCCCTGGTCCCCCCATTCAAAGTATAATATAACTAGTATTAAACACGGCGTACTTTGGTACATCACTAACCAATACCACTATTAGTAAGTACTAAGTAGCTAAATCGTTTATTAAGGTGGCATGTGTTACAATACAATGAGAACTGAGAAACATTCAATACAATATTATCATTCAAACATCCGAACCTATATGCCACTTGTAACAAAAAAAATTGAAAAATATGCACTATTATAGTGCCTGGTTTTACTCTAAAATACACGAAAACCCAGGAGCTTCCGGGGCCTTCGCCCCCTGGGCCCCCACCAGGGCTTCGCCCTGGACCCACTGGGGGCCTTACGGCGGCCCCCAGACCCCTGCCTCAACAAAGTTATCCACGCCCCCCCCCTAACCACAAATCCTGTATCCGCCCCTGATGGGATCACCAAAGCTCCAATGTCATTGGTTAGGACCTTACTTAATTCTGAAAAGAATCAATGATGTCATATAAAAAATTAGAAGAACAACAAAAAGCAAACCCAAAGTTGTTCACTATAATCTTTTGAAGTTGTTCACTATAATCTGTTGAAGCAAAGGAATTAATAAACCCAACTAGTAATATTGGGTCTGCTTCGAAATATATATAGCTTAGCGAATATTAAATAGCTCATCATTTTGTCAGAAATTTTAGTAAATAATCTTATGCAGTGATATTATGCCCATTATTGATGTTTGGGATGTTGTCGGAAAATGAGGGGCTAAGTTTGGCGATACCTTGAGCGATTCATCAGATGAAGATCTTCTGACTCCGGATGTGTCAATTGCTGAACCACCAGCTACTTCAACATCCAGTATCAACCGCAACTGAGAGAAAATTCGACAAACAGGGCGCTTCCATTCAGACGTCTCCTTGCAGTAGCGCGCTACCCTCATCCTTAGTGTCGAAGGAACGTGTCGGTCTAGACGATGGGGGGGGGGGGGAGTTGTTTGTAACCACGATTGCCATGCTGAGAAACCATCCTTATCAATTGTTTGCTAGGATGATGGAGGACCCCACCATATCACAATCTTATATTATTCATGACCGAGGGAACATTAAGGTGTACTTCATGGACCGGGACTCAACATATTTTGAAATAATACTTCATTACCTGAGAGATGGAGCCAAAACATCAACCGCCAACTAATCAGTGACGCCAAGACAATAAGGAAGATTCATATTGAGGCTGCGTTTTATAGACTAGAGACCCTAGTTTAGGTTATTGGGAGCCAAAGGTTTGTTATGATCCTTGGGCATAAAGAGTGTTTTAGAAAAATAATTGTAAATTGCTATAATAAAGTTAAAGTATTAATTCTCTGTTGAATGTATGTCCTTGTTTAAATAATCATTCATTGGTCAAGTGTTTTGATGATAGGAGCGTTATTAATATTATAAAGCCCACTAGCTTCGAGTTGATTTTTGTATTTGTTGTAGTTATAGATATCAAGAAGTTTTGGGATAAAGGTAAATGAACTTTTTAAATATAGTAATTGCATGTAGCATTATCATTGTTATGTATATATGAATTTCAGTTAAGTGCGATTTTACTGATTACCATTTTCCAATAATGCTATTTCTTGTCATTTCATGCATCCATGTCATTGTACAATTTCGTTGCATTGTTGTTATATTGATTTATACTTACTTATGTATAGCTGCAAGTGATGTTTTCAGTAGACCCAAGTCCAGTTGCATTCGGGACGAATGTTTTTTTCAAGAGGGGGCTATGTTACGAAATTCATTATGTCACTTTTGTGTATTTAATGAATCACTCGCGATGTATACTGATGTTTACAGCGTGATAATATGTACATGATTGTTTGTCATTAAATAATTGGTAAATAATTGTAAAAGATATTGATTATATGCTGTCAATCGTATAATATTATTTTGGAGTCGGGTTCACTGTATTTCGACCCGGTCTCGATCTCGATAGCATGTTTGAAGTCAATTATCACGTTTTGTCTTTGAACATTGTATTGTCATTGTTTAAATCAACTTAATAACATAATATCTACTTGTGCTTATCGTATTTAGGTATGGTTAGTAATGATAACTTCTCTGTGTGCACTTCCCTGATTTGTTTATACCGGAAGTGGCGTAGGGTCAGCGATTGGCTAATTGAGGTTACAGGTGGGTACAGTAAAGGTATATAAAGAAGCAAAAAATTCGTCTGCTAAGAGGAGAAAGGGGGAGAAGTTGCGTGGATACAGAAGCCTCTGAATTATTTTCTTTGGTACTGCTTTCCTCATAGTCAAGCATTTAGAGGGATGGCAGACCCAATGCTGACCAGATGGGTAATTATATTAGTCAAGTTATATTAAAAAGAGACGCTGAGATATAAGTAGAGTCGGAGACCCATCGACGGAAAAACGTATTGGAGAATTTATGGGAGTAACATTTTATTAATAAAACTATATAGGGATTATAGTTTATAAATAAAGTATATATTAAATTAAAGAAAGTATATTCTATTTCAAGTAGCTAAATTTTATAAATATTTTGGGAGATTTTTTCCTACGGGCTGTGGGAGTGACTTTACTTTAAAGGTGTCAGATATTGTGACTTTTATTATAACAATACTTATATTAAATTGTACATAGTGCAATAGATTTTATTTATTGAATTTTTATCCTGACTTAATTATTCATAAAGTTGACATACGAGAGTGGAAAGCCCACACAGTTGCCCCACTCTCTCTCCCGAGGTGGAAAGCGCAACAATGTAATTTACAGAATTAGAATTTAATCCGAGATTTAAAAAAAAAATACAAATTATATAAATTGATTCTTACCTTGAATTTGTCTACATCCGGTTACATGATCACAATCAGACTGTTTACACTGACACACTTGCTGACAGTATTTCCCATAATTTGGAAATACACATCTATGCACACAGCGATCACTAAAGTAACCTTGTGTTAGATTCATATAGAAACTATATAGTTTTGAAGACAAAAAATATGCTTTATCACAATGCTAATAAATTGTTGATTCTCCTAAATTGTTTTTTCTCTACAATATACTCATTTACAGAAGACACACAATTACAAAAGTCATTTAAGAATCTTTTCTGAGCTGAAATTTTAATAATTTCTCTTAACTTAAATCAAGTGATCAATAATATAAAAATAAATATTTTTTTAATTTTTTTTTCAAGAGAGTATTTTATTTTAGATAATATACCAGCAAGGTTTTTAAAAGATAGTGCTTTTTATATTAAAGAACCTATAATGTCCATTGTAAACAAATCTATAACAACCGGTATTGTACCAGATGATTTTAAAATGGCAAGAGTCAAGCCTCTGTTCAAGAAAGGAAACTCCCTTGAAGTGGGAAATTATAGGCCAGTCAGTATATTATGTATAGTTTCAAAGATTTTGGAAAAATGTGTCCATGTTCAACTTTTAGATTTTTTAAACAATAATCACTTGTTGTATTCTTATCAATCAGGTTTTAGAAACAAATTTTCAACAGATACTTGTTTAATACATATGTTAGATTTTATCAAAAGTAATACATCCAAAGGGCTTTTTACAGGTATGGTAATGTTGGATTTGCAAAAAGCTTTTGACACTGTTGATCATACAATTTTATGTGATAAGTTAAAAGTTTAAGGAGTTTTATCCACTGAGTGGTTCAAATCTTATCTGTCTTGTAGACAACAACAAGTTCATGTCAACAATACTTCTTCAGACTTTAATACTGTAAATTGTGGTGTTCCTCAAGGCAGCATCTTAGGACCTCTTTTATTTTTAATATATGTCAACGATATGACTGTCGGTATTGATAATGACTGTAAATTAATTTTATATGCGGATGACAGTGCCATTTTTTATGCACACAGAGATCCTGTTATTATTGCTCAAAAACTGGGCATTGTTCTTGACAAATGTTCTTCTTGGTTAGTTGACAATAGATTGTCACTCCATTTAGGTAAGACAGAATCTACTAGTATTTTATTTGGTCCTCCAAGAAAGCTAAAAAATATCCCAGATTTTAAACTTTTGTGTAATGGTCACCTCATTAATGGTTCTGAAAGTGTTAGATATTTAGGAATCTGTATTGACAAGTTTCTCTAATGTGAAAATATTGTTTTAAGTATCATACAAAAAGTTAATGCTAGACTTAAGTTTCTATATAGAAATGCATCCTGTCTTAGAACACAGTCTAGAAAGACCCTATGTTCTGCCCTGATACAATGTTACTTCGACTATGCCAGTTCTTCTTGGTATTGTGGAATAAACAACCAACTTAAACACAGATTACAAGTAACCCAGAATAATGTAGTACCGTTCATTTTAAACCTTAGTCCAAGAGAGAGAGTATTTCTAACAAAATGTTAAACTCTCTAAATATGTTAAGAGTGGAGGAAAGAGCTAAACAATTAAGATTAAATCATGTTTTTAATATATATCATGGTAATGCACCAGCTTACCTCCATGAACATTTTGTTTTAAATAATAATATCACAAGAAGTGCAACAAATAAGAATTTTATTATACCAAAGATAAAAGGGAAAGAGTCTTCATGTTTTTTCTATAATGCACTCATAAAAGTACCTGCCTAAATTCCAATGTTTATGTAATTTTGTTATTTTTTGTTTACTAACATGGCTGTTATTTGAGGACCCCATTGGAAATAAGCCTTTTTAATAAGGCTTTTATGGGCTATCCTTAGGTAATATCTATCAACTGTATGTCATGCAATGTATTTAATAATAATTACATATATATGTTAAATTGATCTTCTTTAATTAGCATGGTGCTGAGATAATGTGTGTGTATTTCTTTTTCTAGTAGTATGCTAGTCAGTAATGTTTTAATTTGTTAATCATGACATTCTGTGATATTTTTACCTGAATAAAATGAAATGAAATGAAATTATCTCGTCATTCTGAATTCATAAACCGTGTGCTTTCCAAGGAATATTACATATTAACGAGGAGGAATAAAACAGGAGGAAAATATTTAGGATTTTTAATGTTATTGTCATGTTTCATCTATTTTTATCAGGAGATAAGTACTATTTACCAGAATCGTCATAACATCCTGTAGTAATGTCACAGTGGCGCTCATCACAATCACACCTTCCCTGACACTCTGAGCCATAATTAGGATATGGACATATCTGCGAAATTCGGTCCAGTATATCCGGGAGAACAGACTAATATCAGAAAAGAGGAAATCATGAGAAGTGTTATTGTACAATTGACGGTGAAATCTGTATCTGTTACTCTTACAAAAAAATGGGAAAATACGATATCAGGATAAAAAATATAATTGATTATTTCATAAAGTTTAAAAGCACCTATGAATTTAATAAGATGATGTTAATCTTCTTGTAGAAAATCAAACCAAAAAAAAAAATGTTTTGTAGTTTTGTGACATTCTTCTTATCTCTCAAGACACATATAAAAATCAAAGCGCAAAATTTTGATCGATGGGAAAAAAAAATTAATTTACTACCTGTTAAACCTTTAGAGAATACAATTATTATGAATTCATAAGAACAACGTACTGCAAAGGATCAAAGTATTTCAAATGTTTTTACCCTCATTGAATTCAAAATATTTAAGAACTTTTCCTACTACCTAGACATAAACTGCTTTTCCAGAACAGAAACATGATAATTTAGTTAATCTTCTACTTTTAGTTATTTATTAAGTCAATATTCACAAGCATATACCGGTACCTTTACAGAGTAAAAAGATATCATCCCATTCTTGACAGCACTCATCAAAACTTTAAAAAAAAAAGAAGAAGAAAGAACAAAAAAAATTAGCTTAATTATCCATACTAAGATTATAACAATGAGTATAGTTACAGAAACAGGGAAAACTAATTATCATTTTCTTACCTTTTACACATATTGCTTTCGCTGTGAACAAAATACAAAGGAACTAGACATAAGAAAAAATGATTTCTTTCGTTTGAGGAAGGAATTAGACAGAAATCAATTTCTACTTGGTGTGATAATGAATTACTTTTTCGGAATTACAAGGTTTTCATTCGAATACCTGGTGTATATCACGTGGTTCTTTAGAACCGGTCTCGTTAGCAAGGCTATATAAGAGGTGAATAGTGGTTTAAATACCAGTTTAGGACGACACGTAGAGCACGATAAAGTTTAAATCTCAGATGCAGAACGGAGTGGCGTAGGGCGTGGTTCATCGACATGTTTAGCCATTGTAGATGATATGAAATCACAGAAAATAGAGTTGGAGAGAGATTTGACAGTGTGGAAAACGAGGTCATCAAAGAAAAACCATCTTAGATCTTGTTTTTATAAGATAAGTATTCATTTGAGAATACAATTGATCAGTTTTTGAATAAGTAATAAATTAGTGATAACAAGGTTTGTAACAGAGAGAATTTGAAAACAAATACATGATTGTATTACATTATGAGATTCGTTAATTCTAGTCAGTATAGAAGTTATTTCCAGAAATAGATATTTTGTTTTGTAGAAAGATAGATTTGTTATAGGAAGAAAACTGGTGTTTCTGAAAAGCAAAACAAATACGTGGTTACATGTTGGGGTTGGTATCACGATGAGTATAATGAAGAAGGTGATTTTAAGATCTCCAGAGAAGTACGGTAGATTTTTTCTTTGCGTTTTAAGCCAATTAAAAGTTAAATTTAATGCGGACTCCATCATAATGGAAAAGAGAAGCATTTCATATTCTGATCTTTGAGTATAATAATTCGTTTTTTGATTTATTTTAGTAGACCATTCAATCATGAATTCTTATAGTAGAGTATGGGGCATAGATGATTTTTGTTTGGTATCTATTAACCAAGTATATATTTAATGACATATAATTTTTATAGAAGAAAACGAGTTCTACTTGTCTTATGATTAATGCAGGACAGGTACGGCTTTGTGAAAGAGAATTAAAGGTTTAGAATATTTGCATTTTGATTTTCATTGTAGTTAAACTAAGGGCTCATTTCAATTATCTACTTAGAATTGAAATTTATCAATTGAGTATTAATTTAAAAAAAAAAAGATCAAGATGGTATAAAATATTTATAGGAATGATAATTCTGCAGTATTTGCAGTGTTGTTAATTGGTTTGATTGAGTTTTCTAGAAAAAGAGATCTAAGTATTTAGTTTCAATTCTAAGAAGTTTTCATAACAGATACTGTTTTTTGTCGGTTTTGATTTCGAGTAAAAAGGAGATTTTGTCAATGAATTCTAATTTTAAAAATGATTCACCAAAATTGAATTAAATTTTTTCTGAATATTAATTTCATAAGCTGTTTTGCACAATTTCCGTGATTGGTAGTGTTTGGGAGATTTGAATTTTGATAATGTTGATATATTTCATTTTATAATGAAATGATTTAAGGAATTTTTATTAATTGGCAACAATTTTTGGAGTATTTACTTTTATTGAAATTAGTTTTCACTGGAAAGTGATTTTTATGATACTGTAGCTATTTAAAAGCTGTTATTTTTGAATTTAAAACAAAAATAGAATTTGGGGGGAATTCCAACTCTAACCCAGCTTAGCATAAAATATTTTATGGATGTTTATCATAACGCATCTATGGTGTTTGGTTTTTGGCGGGATTGATTTCAGTAGACAATGAGAAGTACAAAAATAGTCAAATGAAAATTAATATTTCTGTTTGAAATAATATTGAGTAGGGTTTGAATTTGAATAACTTTGGCACAATTTAGCATATCATGCTTTTACGAATGATTTCCAACCATTTATATGGTATTGTCATTTGGCAATCTATTAAAGATTGTTTTCATTATATTGCTGATACTATGAAATAGAAATTGATTGGATTCGAATGCTTTGCACATTTTATCATAAAATGATGTTATGTTATAGATGTTTATCCAACTACATTTGTGGTGTTGCCATTTGGCGGGTTGGTTAAAGTAGAAAGTGGGTTCTTTATCATACGAGTTTGAATTTATGGATGTTTGTCCAACCACATATGTGATGAAGCTATTTAGTAAGACTGGTTTCTGTAGAAAGTGTTTCTTGGTATATATTAAAGTAAAAGTTTATAATTTTCATGAAATCAAAGAAAAATTTGATTGGAACTTGAAGTATTTGATAAATTTTTCACATAGTATGAATTTATGGATGTTTTTTGAACCGTATTGTGGTGATGCCATTTGGCGAGTTGGTTAAAGTAGAAAGTATTTCTACATATAAAGTACAGTAAAAGTTGATAATTCTGATGAAAATAAAGTAAAATTTAGTTGGAATTTGAACTTTTTGATAAATTATATCATAAAATGAACGTATGGATTTGTATCCAACCACATTTTTGGTGCATGATGCCATTTGGCGAGATTTGTTTATGTAGAAAGTTTTTCTGCATAAGTAGTAAAGTAAAGGTTGATAATTTTGATGAAAATAAAGTAAAATTTGATTGGAAATTGAACTTTTTGATAAATTATATCATAAAATGAATGTATGGATTTGTATCCAGCCACATATGTGGTGATGCCATTTGGCGAGATTTGTTTGTGTAGAAAGTATTTCTACATAAGTAGTAAAAGTAAAGGTTGATAATTCTGATGAAAATAAAGTAAAATTTTATTGGAATTTGAACTTCTGATAAATTATATCATAAAATGATTTTATGGATGTTTATCCAACTACATTTGTTTTGATGCCATTTGGTGAGATTGTTTTCAGTAGGAAGTATTTCTACAAATAGTAAAGTAAATGTTGATTATTCTGATGAAAATAAGGTTATCATAACTTGATTATCAAATGGATGTTTATACAAACACATTCATATTTTTCTTAATTAAAAAAAAATGATTAGTGCAATTCATAAATTTTGAACTTAATGGTGGAATTTTGATTTATCTTATCATTTAATGATAGTATGCATGTTTTGCTAGCCACAATGATGATGACTTTGATTTTTTTTTATATAGATTAAAAGAGAGAGAAAAAGAGATCCTATACATATTTACTAAAATATCAGAGTTACAAGATATATGTATCTATCAGTTTTCTAACATCAAATTTGTTCTTCCAGGTATTATTGGTTATATTCTTCTTGCGTTTAATTCAAGCACCATGAGGTATTAATCGGTGTACCAATAATGACAGAGTTTCAAAGAGGCACATAGCCAAGGAATTGGAGATGGGATTCAAGATGTTTCACAGGAATGTGTATTTTGTGCTATTTTGATATTGGATGATGAATATACTTCTATGTATAACTGTGTCGAATTCATTTGATATATTTGAGGTCTTCTTCCCTGGGACTTCACGATAAATCGTATGGTATGCGTTGAATTTGGCTTGAAACTATACTCAAAATTCAAGTGCAGCAAGCATTTATCGATGTATGCATAGGATGTGTGCATAACATCAAGACTTTTACAATCAGTCTCACATGGTGAATTGCGTTATGGATTTTCAAAAGACGGCGGTGTATTGAATTTTTTTTTTAGGATGGATATACATGTATTGATATTTTCCCGCGTTTCGCTAGTATAGCGGGAAAATGTTGTATTAATGACAAGATGTTTATACGCATGTTGTGTGGATTGGTCAGAGAGTGACCAATAGAAATTGATTTTGAGGTGTAGTAGAGAACTGGTTTTTAGAGGTTGGTCACTTCTAGCCGCCGACTTAAGCGAGCAACAGCTAATTTTTTTTTTTTTAAATTTATGTATAAAGGGTAAAAGTGAATATATTTATATACATATATTTGATTTTTTTTTAGGGTTTTATTGGTAGGTTGTGAGGTCCGTCGCAACATTTTTTGCATCCAGCGGCACTTGGCAACGGACACAGGTTTCTAGAGTTTTTTAAAAATTATTTTTATCTCTAGTTTTTCCTGGCCGGCCCTGATGCTTTTCATGTTTATCACAAAGAATATTTTAGAATTATAATAGATGCAGCAGTTTTGGGGGATTTTGATGTTTTTATTTCTCATACACAATGTCCTGTGTTCTATATATGTATATTGATGTACTGTTAATAAAATACAGCGTCCAGCGCACACACCGCTGGCTGTCATGCATAGAATGTTATTGTTTGTTTGTATAAAAGTAATGGAGTGAATACATGTATTTTTTTTGGTGATTATTTAATTGTTTTCAAAACATTTTATTGGAAAATTTCTGAAAAATTTTTTGTATTGTTTGAAATATTGAATGACTTATGACTTAAATGAATTTTGTTGGATTGAATTTAAAACTAGATGCTGTCATGAGACAGTAATACCCGCACTAAGGTGTTTGCCTCTAAATGCACACTCCTCTAAAATTAGGCTTTACCAAAGAAAAAGTCAATATAATTTAATAATTTACATAATGGGGCCTCCATGTACTCATCAAATTGAGCATAATATTCTCAAGTGAACATGTGACCCATGGGCCTCGATCTTATAGGTACATGTATTTCATATTCATAATTCATTACCAGTCTGAAATTAAACAACAGAATTCAATTAATGATGTAAATTAGGTTTGAAACAGGGGGGGGGGGGTAAATTTTTGGCCCATAATTGGAAATTTTTAAATCTATTTTGTCATATAGATCAACAACAAATATTATTCAAATTAGTTTAAAGCGTTTTTGATGATTTTTTCCAAAATGTACAAACTTTTTTATACTTGATTAGGCAGAAACACCTTGAAATCTGCCATATACCATGTATACATACCCAATCAATTTAGTCAACCCCCACCCTTCTCCCATCAACACACACACGCAAACACACCCTATTTTCCTGTTTTTGGAAATAGGCCTAGATGGCAAAGTTAAGATAAAACATCTTTTGTAAATAATAATTTTAAATTTGTTCTTATACTGTAAATGTATCTGAAGACTTGCATCACATTGGGCTTGCGTCACGTACCTAACTTAAGTACTAGTTTTACCATTATCATTTTTAGATCTATAGCACTGCACGTGCAGTACTAGGCGTAGTGTTGTGTACACATCATTGCATGTATGTCAGTTGGAATTATTTTGTGTTTAATTGGATTATATTTCATGAAGTTGGAGCTATGGCAGTCGGTAAGTACACGTTTTGGTATAGATTTGGGTAAAATAGTCTGAAATGCAACTGGTTAGGTTAAAGTTTAAAGGATCAAAGGTCATCCGATGCTGCAATAAGACGAATTTCACATTCTAAAGAGTTATCGCCCGTTATCGACGTTACATTCAGTTACAAAATACAGAATTTTTTTCTGAGAGGGAGGGGGGACTTCCAGACCAGAATTTCCTGAGAAGCAAATAAAAGGAGAAGTTATGGTGGTGTCTGTTTTCTAGGGTGGAGGGCATCCAAAGTCTTTTTTATATTATAGTCCTGCAAATTCGGGGGGGGGGGATCTCAAGATACACTTCCAGTCCCTGTAAACAGTAATGGCAAATGATCATGTGACTCCTAAATAGTGGGAAACTTTTTCCATTTGACCATACATAATTTTGCGCTTTTTGTGTTATTATGTTATGTAAATTTAATGGTATAAAGGTTTTGAACCCCCTGGAGGTCATCCCCACTCTCCTAATGATTCTAACTGGAAATGTTCACAATATGACTGCATTAAATGAAATAAAAGTGCATCAATGATAAGATTGCTTGACATTTCATTCATCAACCTATCCTCCTAGAATTAGGAATGAAAATCATTCAAAGAGATGGACCACATTAAAGTATTTGTATATAGGCTATTAACATATTTTTTTAAAAATGTAAAACAAGCAGTAGTTTGCATACATGTCATGAATATAAACAGGGGTCTGGGATGGGGTGAGGGGAAGGATCGAGTTCCTGTCTCTTTACGTCTTAATGGTTGAAAACTCCTAAAATGAATGTTGACCTCAAATCCGACTTGTCCTTATTATTTTTCAAGTGGGGGTGTCTCCATTTGAGTGAAAAATTCCTGAGAGGGATGTTTAACAACAAACAAACAATTAAATGACATAAAAACACAATATTGATTTGCGTTAAGAAATATGCAGGGGATTTTTTCCATCATAAATCTTCTTCTCAAGAACAGCAAGGGCATTATTGTCCCCCGTTTTGGGGGAAATTAAGGGAGGGAACATTAAATCTTATTTGTCTGTCAGTCTGGCCATCTTTGACAGTATGTGCATCCGTCACAATAAATTTAACCTTGATCATAACTTTTGAATAATATGAGATAGGGCTTTCATATTTCACATGTACATTACCACAAAACTTTCTAAATGTACTATGATTTTTTAACCCAAGTGAGACCTTGACCTCAAAATTTTACCTACTTTCCCAAAAATAACATTTTAAATTAAACATTTTGAAAGAGAAAAGATATGGCATTTAAATTATACATGTATATTACATGTGAAAAGACTTTTCTAAATATATCATGACTTTTGACTTTCTGATCTTGACCTATAAGTTTAACCTACTTTTCAAAAAATATTATATTATATATTTTTATATATATATATATAACTTTTGATTGAAAAGAGATGGGTCTTTCATATTTGACATGTACTTTACCTGCAACAAAATATTTCGAGCATGCGATGATAACCCCCCTTTGACCTAATTTTCATAAAGTGACATATGATAGGGATGCATATTTGATACACAATCTGCCATAAATTATGGCATCCCATTCACTTAAACACAGAAAGCAAAGGACCACAATTCTTTGAATTTGCATGTATAATCTTGATATGGAAACATCCTCATATAATGTATATTCAAGTTTTTTATGCTACGCCATGATTAGGAATACATGTATTAGTTTTTGTCATGTCCGTCCTCCACCCTTCCATCTGTCTTTCCATCGAGCTCAAAGAAATTATTTTCTAGATATTTTATCAAAGTTCATATGCTGATGCATATACTGATGTAAACTATCCAACTGTGGCAATATTTTTTATGCGCCCGGATCGATAGATCCCGGGCATATATTGTTTTTGTCCTGTCTGTTTGTCTGTTTATCTGTTTGTCTGTTTGTCTGTTGTCAACTTTAACCTTGGCCATAACTTTTGAACAATAAGAGATAGAGACTTCATATTTGGTATGCATACTCCACTATTAAAGTCCTTTCAAATGACATCAAGGTCAATGACCTTGTGACCTTGACTGTGACCTATATGCTAAAAATAGCTTTTTCCACTATTTGTCATAACTTTTTAACCATAGGAGATAGGGACTTGATATTTGGTATGCATACTCCTTAATAGTTGATGGTTTAATAAAGCCCTTTCAGTTGACAACAAGGTCAATGATCTTGTGACCTTGACTGTGACCTATATGCTAAAAATAGCTTTTTACACTTTTTGCCTTAACTTTTGAACCATAGGAGATAGGAACCTCATATTTGGGATGCAAACTCCACAGATTAAGTTCTTTCAAATGACACCATGGTCAATGACCTTGTGACCTTGACCGTGACCTAGATGCTAAAAATAGCTTTTTACACTTTTTGCCATAACTTTTTAACCATAGGAGATAGGAACTTCATATTTAGGATGCATACTCAACTGATTAAATTCTTTCAAATGACACCATGGTCAATGACCTTGACTGTGACCTATATGCTAAAAATAGCTTTTTACACTTTTGGCCATAACTTTTAAACCATAGTAGATAGGGACTTCATATTTGGGATGCATACTCCACTGATTAAGTTCTTTCAAATGACACCACGGTCAGTGACCTTGTGACCTTGACTGTGACCAATATGCTAAAAATAGATTTTTTGAACTTTGTTTCCGCTGGGCGCATAGTGTTTCACAAACACATCTTGTTTACCTTTACTTTCCTTTGACCTTTACTTAACTTTTCTTAAAATTAGTGTTTAGCTTTATTTTAGAGAAACCATAATGATTCAAGTTGTGTAATGAAACTTCACATGATGATACATACTGATGTAAGCAATTAAACCTTTACAATGCTTCACTCTTTTTTACCTTGATATTTCCTGTGATATTGACCTCACTGTCTTAGACTAGATCAGTTTTGAATAAACAGTTCAAGATATATTAATCAAACTTCATATGCTAATACATACTGATGAGAGCTATTATTGCATTAACTTATTTTGACCTTGAACTTTCTTTTGACCTTGACCTCACTTTTTAAAATATGTGTTTATCTAAGTTTTAAATAAACCATTAATTATATTTTTATCAAAATTCATATGATAATAGTAAATTCACACTGATGTAAGCTTTTCAGCTAGAACAACATTTTGACCACAACCTTTCCTTTGACTTCTCTTTTCTTAAAACAAAGTGTTAAGCTCAGTTTCATTAAATCATTCAAGATATTTTTATCAAACATAATAAGCTAATATGTATTAGTGAGAGCTATTCAGCTGCATCAAAAACTTCATCTTGCACATTCCTGTGACCTTGACCTCCCTCCTCTTTAATATGTATTTTGCTTAGTTTTTAAGAAATAATTTAAGACATTTTTATGTTTAACATGCACTTATACATAATTTGATGAGAATTTATTATCTATATCCAATTTATTTATATTTTAGTTTCAATTCTGAAA